AAACTAAAGGACGTAGGCTGCAGTATCTCGTGGGACGTAGGCTAAGGCTGTGGTGTGGGGGGAGGGGTGGGGTTAGGGTCAGTTTTAGATTTTTTGGGGTCGTTAAAAGCGGTGACATCGTGTTTTATATAGAACGCGTCATCGCCGGTGAGAGCGCCGAAGACACTACAACCTGTAACATAGTCAAAGGTCAGCAAGCATGAGTGAACGACCAGTCACGGTGAAAATGGGTCGGAGGTCGTTACTTACACCTCTCCTGGGTGTTTGGGATGTCGGTGACACCTTTATGTCTTTCTAATCGCTAATGTTTCATTATGTTTCAGGAAGCTGTGGGAATAACAGCCCATAGCGTGACTCGGAAGACCGATCTGTTTGTTTGAAACGTCTCCCACAATTAGGGCATGTGATTCACGACGATTGCTGTTGTCGCATGTTGATGCGTTTCTTCTCAACCGTTCAGCTTTTAACCTTTCATAATCATTATCTTTGGTGGCCTTATTTCCGTGCTTATTACCCCCTGCATGGAATACGATCCATATCATCCTGTTCTCGCAAGTCTACCTCAGTACTTGTACAGGCGCGCCGCTTCGAGGAAAACATGAGAGTCTATCTAACACCGCCTCGCCCCGGGGTGGGGGTGGTGAAGGCTAATGACCTCCCACCACCCACGCCCTTGTTAGTCTAGCGTCCCAATCTCAGACGCAATTTTTGTTTTGTTTTAGAACCCCTCCCTGGCTGTTGCCGGGGACCCTAATATAACCCAGCCCTGTGGATAAAACATGGTTTCTGGGACCTGTCCCTGGGTAAATCTCATTCGAGTGGTTGCCCATATATCCCATCGAGTGCCGATAGGCACTTTTTGCCCACTACATCTGAAAGCGTAAAAGAGCTCTTTTTTTTTTAATTAATATTGTTATTATTATTATTTTTATTAATATTATTAATAATATAATTATTATAGGAGCTTTTGAGCTGAAATGCTATAGAAAGATTCTCAGAATATCTTGAACAAAGAAGATGAGAAATATTGACATCTTAAAAGGATTGAACATCAATGAAAATTGGCTAATAAACAGCATTCTATCTCGAAAATTGAAATATTTTGGTCATTTCAAGCGCCACGACGGATAGGAAAAAAATATAGCAGAAGGTATGGTACCAGGAAGGAGGGGCAAGGGCCGAAAGACACGAAGATGGGCACAGGATATAAGTGACTCCTTGAGTGTGAAAGTGCATTAGGCGGCAGAACTGGCAAGAGACCGAGTTTCTTTCAGGCAGACTGTGATGAGAGCGACGTTCTGTAAAGGACCTGCTACATGATGATGATGATTATTATTATATTACTAATAATGTGCAGAAGTGCAACAGCAACAAAACCTATAATAATAGTCCTGAAATATTATGACACAAATCTTTAGGTGATTGATCTCCTGATAATTTATTGGGTTGGCTTCCAGGTTTCGGCACTTATTTACCTGTATCTTTCATGGCCCGTCTCCACACATCTTTATATGGAAGTAGGGCCCACGCGGATTCTTCTTTGCCTATCTGACTTCTTCTTCGTGTTCACTATCTGTAAACCCTAACGGAAGTTCTGAATGTTCGCCCGCTCTGGACCTTAGTCTTGTTCGTGAACTTGAGTGTTGCGTGCACATTCGATGTTGGTTACTTGTCTCTCATGCAGATGTACTCTGACTTCGAAGGAAGCGCCCAAAATAGACGACATGCTTGTTGGGGAGGCACTGGGTCTATTCTTGTTTTCTACAAAATAAAGCCCCGTCAACAACTCGGGTGGCCTACATGTAATACACCATAAGTCATAGAGGAGGTCCTTGGGAGCTTAACCATCCTTCATCTGCTGTGTTTGTCCTAACCATCTGAGATTTCAAATACTCACTCACACTTTGATAACAAGTCATACCGGCTCTTTCCAATGCAATCGTTGTTCACGTTTTCCCCCCTAACGATAAGTATTCTTGTAGACATTAGAGGTAAAATATATTTAGCAGTTTCTAGTGGTACAGGTGAGTCGCCGTTGTGTAGCGACTAGACGCTCGCTTGCGGATCGGAAAGACGTGGGTTCGGGTATTTACGGAGCCAGATTTTTTTCAAAAATGACCTTGGCTCCCAGGTCGACCCAGCCTTGAGTGGCTCCCAGGTCGACCCAGCCTTGAGTGGCTCCCAGGTCGACCCAGCCTTGAGTGGCTCCCAGGTCGACCCAGCCTTGAGTGGCTCCCAGGTCGACCCAGCCTTGAGTGGCTCCCAGGTCGACCCAGCCTTGAGTGGCTCCCAGGTCGACCCAGCCTTGAGTGGCTCCCAGGTCGACCCAGCCTTGAGTGGCTCCCAGGTCGACCCAGCCTTGAGTGGCTCCCAGGTCGACCCAGCCTTAAGTGGCTCCCAGGTCGACCCAGCCTTGAGTGGCTCCCAGGTCGACCCAGCCTTGAGTGGCTACCAGGTCGACCCAGCCTTGAGTGGCTACCAGGTGCAGCTCTAAAAAGTATAGGCAGCTAACGTGATGCTGACCACATTAACCACCCAGTGTATATTGGTATATAAAGATATAGGTCCAGCCCTTTATTCTCAATACGCCTGGAGGTGTGGAAAAAGGTCCTTTAACTTACATGACTTACTGGTACAAGTTTATCAAGTTTTCGGAGAACACTGTCCATATAGACACCGTTTTTGTTTTCTGTGTGGTTTCCAACCTGTTGGAAATAGACCCTAGATATATGAATGCACACGCTTTGCATTGCTTATACATAATTGTAAACATGATAACACATAAAGTACTAGATCCCTGAATGGTTTGTTACAAGCGCATGCGAGCATCTCCGGGGGCTGCTGAATCCTAAATAAAAACATTATTCACTGTATATTTTTGAATACAAGTTTACTGTGGCGGAGTTCTGTTGCTTCATGTTTGAATGTTCATAAATTTTCTTATAGTATATGGCGTGTGGTGTTTGATTGTCACCATGGCTGTCCTACCTTATTTCTTGTGTACGGAGAATCCTTTCTGATACAGGTGGACTATCCATGATATATTACTAAACTGTGTAAAAACTTCTCTCTTGCATCTTTTATTCCTCTCCCCCCCCCCCCACACCCTCCGTGTCTCTTATCCCCTCCCGGTGTCTCTTATGCCCCTCATGTTTCTTGTGACCCCCATGTGTCTCTGTCTTGTCATTTATGACCTCCATTTGTCCCTCTTACTCTCCCCGTTTTTCTGGTCATTTATGACCTGCATGTGTCTCTTGTCATTTATGACCTCCTTGTATCTCTTGTCATTTATGACCTCCATGTGTGTCTTGTCATTTATGACCTCCATGTGTCTCTTGTTATTAATGACATTCAAGTGTCTCTTGTCATTTATGACCTACCTACATGTGTCTCTTGTCATTTATGACCTCCATGTGTCCCTTATACTCTCCCCGTTTTTCTGGTCATTTATGACCTCCATGTGTGTCTTGTCATTTATGACCTCCATGTGTCTCTTGTCATTTATGACATCCAAGTGTCTCTTGTCATTTATGACCTACCTACAGGTGTCTCTTGTCATTTATGACCTCCATGTGTCTTTTGTCATTTATGACCTCTGTTTGTCTCCTATACCCTCCCCGTATCTCCTTTCAATTATGACCTGTATGTGTCTCCTATACTCTTCCCATATCTCTTTTTATTTATGACCTCCATATGTCTTCTATACTCTCCCCGTGTCTCATTTCATTTGTGACCTCCATGTGTTACTTAGGATGAATATATAAGAGAATTAAATAATGGAGAAATAAAAGAATTAATTGAGAAAAGCAGCATAAACCTAAAGGGACCAACAGTACTTGCAGGGGAAGTCAGTAATGCCATCAAACATATGAAGAAAGGCAAAGCAGATGGACCAGATGAAATAATAGAAGTATTAGAAGTCCTGTATGCATTTGAAGAAGAGGTGCTGTCTCAAATGCTGAATGATATTTATGACGGCGGATATCTACTTGCAGATTTCCTCAAGTCTGTATTTATAGCTTTACCCAAGAGGCCAGGGCTTTGGATTGTGAGGATTTTTGAACGTGATGATGATGATGACTATGACGTGTCTCTTATCCCCATCCTGTGTCTTTTATGACCACGATGTGTCTCTCATCTTCTTCTCATGTAATTTATGACCTCCAAGTGTCTCTATTCCAATCACTGTTCTGTTTTTCCTGACGTACACTTAGTTTTCAGTTTTCATGATCTTGCCAAAGAATGAGAATTGTTCTCTTCTAACCAGTTCTGTATGTAACTAAAGTTCTTTCAAGAAATCATCATTACACACTGTATCTGTACATGGTGTCATCAAGAGGCAGTCAGTGTGCTTCTGTAATATGATGAGAGAGAGAAAAAAAAAAGGCATTGGAGAACGATGACTAGTAAAATTAATGGTAGAAGAGGCATAGGCAGACTACGAAAGACGATGCTTGGCGGCCTGAAACGATGACATGGTGAAATATTATCAGTGAAATTAGTTGAAAATACCAAGGATCGAGATCAGATAAGAAACATGAGCATCTGCAGACAGGGCACGTAATGATGATGGTTTAACTGGAAGTCTTCTATAAAACCACATCTCGGCTTCCTCCACAATAATGCACGATACTCTGCTGTCAGCCCCCCCCCCCCCCCCCCCACTCCAATTATAAATATAAGGGTTCTCTCTATTTCGCTTCGAAAACTGTATTTATCACTTCATATGACCAAAATATACTGCATACTCTTCCATCTCTAGAACTGCGTGCTTGCTTTTGTGTGCCCACACGTCCTGAATAGCTGCGCTGAATAGCCCTACTGCTTAATTCACAACTAGATAGTAAATATAATAAATATAATGATATAAACAATACATCGAACACGAGGCATGTACAAGTATATACAAAGAACAACAGAGTAAATATCTTGCATGTTTATTACAAGAAAATATTCATGCTACACATCGCACAGAAGGCTCTCATCTCTGTGTTCCACAGTTCTTCCAAGGAGTGAGCCAGTCACGGTCTCGACGACTACCACTACTACCACCGAGAGTGCAACAACTTCGGAACCAACAGACGCTCCAACACAAACAACGGTCAGTTGCTCTTGCGGTGATTCAGCCGACGTCTTATCAAGTGATGCCGGAGACACCCCAGAAAACCGGCTCAAAAGACGGAATCAAGCTTTGACCGTTGACGAGGAGTTGTACCAGCGTTATCTGCAGAGCGAAATTGACGCCAACAATGCAAAGGTGGTATATTATTCTGAGGTGGCCAGGTACTATCAGGAGGCGTTGGACGCTCAAAATAAGTACTACAACAGCCAAAGACAGAAGACAGACCTAGAGATCAGCAAGCTGCAAGAAGGAACATGTGCCTAGGTCAATACTAGACACACAAGCTATACCTACATGTGTCTAGATCTTCACACAGTTACACTCGTGAGGAACACATCGAATTTTCTGCCAAGAGAAAATTGCGTCTAGAAACCAAAGGGCTCAACAGAATAGTTTTGTTGATATTTACTATCAACTGATGATATATTGTTATTGACATTCATATCCGTCCTCAGTAAATTGCTTCGCTTGTTTATTTATATATTACTTTTTTTAGGGCTTCGTAAACAATAGACACATATTTGCTGGCTTTTTGGCGTATCCTAAACACACAATTCTACATATCAAACATTCTACATCATATAAAGACATCGCTTGCATCTTGCCATGTCACAAATTTAGCACTGTGATCTACTATCGCTTTCATTGCTGTACATTGGACCAAAGTTGCTTTTATTTTTGCTTTTAAAATAATAATTCTACTTTTACATTTTCTTAATAACCAAAAAGATTGAATTTATTAAGTGGTGTTAAAGACTGAATTGATTATGTGGTGTATAAGAAAGTTTCCGAATGAAATATTTACTTTTTATTATTAAAATTAATCAGATTCAGTTTGCGAGTTTTTGTGTTTCTTGACCCTGTCTTCCGGAAGGTGATTTCTGATTCACAAGATGTAATATTTTATTGTTCATATTTAGATCTGTCTGTCTGTCTGTCTGTCTGTCTGTCTGTCTGTCTGTCTGTCTGTCTGTCTGTCTGTCTGTCTGTCTGTCTGTCTGTCTGTCTGTCTGTCTGTCTGTCTGTCTGTCTGTCTGTCTGTCTGTCTGTCTGTCTGTCTGTCTGTCTGTCTGTCTGTCTGTCTGTCTGTCTGTCTGTCTGTCTGTCTGTCTGTCTGTCTGTCTGTCTGTCTGTCTGTCTGTCTGTCTGTCTGTCTGTCTGTCTGTCTGTCTGTCTGTCTGTCTGTCTGTCTGTCTGTCTGTCTGTCTGTCTGTCTGTCTGTCTGTCTGTCTGTCTGTCTGTCTGTCTGTCTGTCTGTCTGTCTGTCTGTCTGTCTGTCTGTCTGTCTGTCTGTCTGTCTGTCTGTCTGTCTGTCTGTCTGTCCGTCCGTCTGTCTGTCTGTCTGTCCGTTTCTCTGTCCGTCTGTCTGTCGGCCTTCTGTCTGTCGGCCTTCTGTCTGTCTGGCTGCTGCCTGTCTGTCTGTATGTCTGTCTGTCTGTCTGTTTATCTGTCTGTCTTCTGTCTGTTTATCTGTCTGTCTGTATATTTCTCTGTCCGTCGGTCTGTCGGTCTTCTGTCTGTCTGGCTGCTGCCTGTCTGGCTGCTGCCTGTCTGTCTTTCTTCTATCTGTTTGTCTGCTTGCCTGTATGTCTGGCTGCTTATCTACGTGTACGCGTCACATACACTCAAAGAGGAAAAGGAGGAGGAGAAACGACATAAGAACAAACAGAAGAAGAAGAAGAAGTGGAAGAAGAAGTGGAAGAAGAAGAAGAAGAAGAAGAAGAAGAAGAAGAATAAGAAGATGAAGAAGAAGAAGAAGAAGAAGAAGAAGAAGAAGAAGAAGAAGAAGAAGAAGAAGAAGAAGAAGAAGAAGAAGAAGAAGAAGAAGAAGAAGAAGAAGAAGAAGAAGGTGAAGAAGAAGGTGAAGAAGAAGAAGAAGGTGAAGAAGGTGAAGAAGGTGAAGAAGAAGAAGAAGAAGAAGAAGAAGAAGAAGAAGAAGAAGAAGAAGAAGAAGAAGAAGAAGAAGAGAAGAGACTGATATAACACACATACAGCATTATGTTCCACAGGATTGCCGTCACCACACACCTTCAATAACGAGCAGACAGTAATGGTAGATTCCACTGAGGTCAGTCTGCAGTGTCCATTAGTGTCTCTGCTGCAGTTAAGCCTGCTGTCAAATGTCCCTTGCCATACAATATTTAATCAAGACCGTCTCCATCTGACGGGCCATGCTGCTGACGTCACCAAACCGGGCTAGCGACGCGTTAGAGGTCTTAGTTTAATGCACTGTGGCAGCCCCAACGCGATGCTGCGTCATAGTATTAGCTTAGCTTTAAATTTTCACTCATACGTTAGGCGTGTTGTTACTTTCATTGATGATCAAATCCCAGTGTGTTTGTCGTAGCTTATGAAAGGAAACTAGAGCCACCATGGTGTAGCGGCGAGTCTCTCGCCTGTGTATTAGAAGATCGTGGTTTCGAATACGAAGGAAGAGGACTTTTTTTTTTCTAAAACATATGGCTCTCAGGTCTACGCAGACCTAAGTTGGTACTATGTAAAGTCCTGGGAAGTAAAGCAGGCCGGTGTGATACTGACGATATTACCCATCCTTTGTCGATTGGTAAATAAAATTTAAGTCTAGATAGAACAACATGCCAATACGTCTGAGAGCGTGGTAAAGGGTCCTTTGCAAACTTTACTATATTGAAGAAAAAAACACAAAAAAAAAAAAAAAACTGGTAGCATAGTGAACACATCTGCCGTTCGGATTGAGATTCTCATAGTAAAGAGTAAAACATCCGCTTTAGTGCATGACGCCCGCCTCATTTTCCAAAGGCAAAGGTGAGAGGATCGACTTAATTCCACTGGGTTTCATCCCATATGCTTAGTCTCTGTAGAACATCTAGCTGTCTGCCGAGAGCGTTGCACAGAGCACGACGTCTTTTGTCCACAGTGATCTCCTTAAAAATTGCACTCGTGAACTGAAAGCGCCGCAGTGAAACGAACCCACGACCTTCAAAGCACAAGACAAACGGCTTGAACACTCCACTACGGAGCCTCTGATTACTTTTATGAAATCCCCTCATAACTTTATAGAGTACTATGCATTCTGAGCGTGATGTGACCAATCGTGTGCTGTCCTTCTTTTCTTCATAGAGCAGCGGTTCTCATCCTGCGGTCGCGAATTTGTGTGTGTGTGTGTGTGTGGGTCGAACGACCATTTTACAGGGATCAGCTAAGACCTTCGGAAAACACGTATTCCTTAAAGTTATGAAGGAAAATAATTGTTTGGGGGGTCGCCACAGCATGAGGGTACTGTATTAAAGAGTCGCCACAGCATGAGGGAACTGTATTAAAGGGTCCCCACAACATGAGGGAACTATTAAAGGGTCGCTACAGCATGGGGGAACTGTATTAAAGGTCGCGGCATTAGTGACGTTGAGAGCCACTGTCGTTGAGCATCTCCTTGTACCAAAATAAATGCCCGGCCATCGTGGGAATCCAGGTTAATTTTGAAAATCCGCGATCACCATTGCCCCGTCACGAACCAAATGAACCAGTACCATTCTGTGTCCGAGCAAATTAAGACCAATTTGAAGTAGGTCAATCAGGTGCCGTCTCCACAATGAAGGTTGGCTGCAACGGAGCTCCAACACTCTCTGGATTGGTTGTTTCACACTGATGTTTGCCTTCTCTTGATATAGTATTTCCACTTTCCCGTGTGAGTTCTGGGGCCCTATTGTGTGGAAGACAAGAACAGATTCACTGCCTCCCCAGCAAACATGTTGTAGGAGTCGAATAATTAGGGACTTCCTTCGAACTCGGAGTACATCAGCTAGAGCGGCAAGGAACAATCAAGTGCACACAAATTAGCCAGTAAAACGGATGTACACGCAAATTTCAGGCCCTGGCACAAAACCAGTTCAATGGACGAACAGCAGGGACTTCTCGCAGGAGCTTACAGCCGGTAAACAAAGAAGAATAAGTATTCCAAATTATATGGTTGCTTTTTTGCCAAAGACCTTTCTCTCCAGTATGGTTTTAAAATGAGTTTTGTCTTTTAATGTGGCCAGAATATTTTAATTTTCTCTCTCTTTTTCTCTCTCTTTCTCTCTGTCTCTCTCCACTTCTCTCTCTTATTTTTTAAAATCAGTTTTCTTTTCCTTCGTATTCTTTTCGTAACCTCCGTATGTGATTGTTTTTTTTCTTTCTTATTAAATACAACCCATTCTTCTGTATGTCAACATATCTAAAAAGTCAGTTCGATTCTAGTTGCTTATTCATTGTCCAAATCGCGCACAATACAGCAGAGTTGAATATACATAGAATTTTGACAATTATCATCTTCAATATGTTTTTTGTCTATCAAGATGTCAATAACATTCGCATCTTATTGACGCTAGCTTTCGTCAATCCTATTCTCTTGTTAATTTCCGTTTCACTAACGATGCTATCATCTAAGTAAGTTAGTTAGTTTGTCAGTTAGTTAGTTGGGTTATCATCATTGCACTCCGGACATGTCCATAGGTGCTCGGATCCTCCCCTCAGTATGAACCCCAACGTCCGATGGCTAATAGTACCAGTTCTATGTTAATTAACAAGTCTTCTGGCGTGTTTGGTGTGCGTCTCGTTTTTTGCTGTCCCGATCTTAATTCCCAAGTCTGCCATTCTGGCGAGTGATGTGGATTCACTGCCACCAAAGTCCTCTATCCTTCCCATTTCTCTGAGGACATTGATAATATCAGTATGATCCATAGGCTGACCGTCGGTAGTAATAGCGGATCCAGCCAACCTGTCAGCTCTTTCATTTCCATCGACGCCTGCGTATCCCGACTTCACGCACAGTGGACTTCTATAATGATTCAAGCCATTGTCTTCGCACAGAACCTGCCTGAACCCTCCGGATCATACTCATTGAATCACTGAGTATACATACGCGGGTGTATTTTTGTGTTTTAAGCCAGGCAAACGCTTGCGTCACTGCCATCACCTCCATCGTCATGCTGCTGGTTGTCATGAAGAAGGCACCGCTGGCTTCTTTGGCTGTTCTGCCCGCTGAGCGTGCTGTGAATGCCTATGCGCTTCTTCGTTGGCGTATAACGGATCCGTCTGTATAGATTAGTGCATCTGCTTCGTCTGAATTTTCACTGATGAGAGCGTTGACCTCTGCATTAACAGCAACAGGATTCTCTTCTCTACATCGCCTGTTGAGTGTGACAATACAGGAAAATGTACAAATAAACGCCTGAGGCACAGATATCCATTCTGCACCAGGTATGATGTCGGTTAGGCTGCATATTAGCCTAATAACATCTTCTGCC